GTCTACAAAGGGAACAATAATGCTAAGGAAGTAGCTCTCCTTAAAGTAATCAACCATTTTAAATCAAAAGGGCAACATTAACGCAAGAACAAAGTTCAGAAGGGTTAGGAAAGTACAGAGGTAGTGGGATAGTGGTGTTACATTATGAGAATTTCAATAAAAACATGAAAAAATTTTAATGTGTAAGATAGAACAATTATTGGATCTGCAAACCTTCACGTAATTCAAAATTTTTAAAAATATATTGTGGCAGTTACACAATCTGTCAACTTAGAAGGAGTGGAGTCTAGCCCGTCTGTCAGGTCATAGCCTATGAAACCTCCATGTAGGCATGGTCTTCTCCTGAAGATTCTGGACACTCCTATTCTCCTCCCTGCAGGTGGGAGACACTCTTTGCTGATAAGCCACATGGAGCTACACTGATGCATACAGAGCCCTGGAACTGGAGGAGCGACATGGAGACCCACGCCAGCACTGAGATGCTTCCACCACCACTGGATCCACAAGACTTTCACTCACTGGCCTGTGATCTTCCTGCATTCAGCATCACAGCATGGCTGCGTGAGTCTAATTTATGGACTAGTATTCACATATGTGGTAATATTAGACTTATGGATTGATTTGTACTGGGCTGGGACGCTTTTTTAATATACAATTTGCTCTTTGATATAAAGTTCTCTCCGTTTACATATTTGAGTATCTATGAATTTGTTTCTCTAGTCCACCCAGACTACCACATACATACAAACGAAAACAAGAAAAGAAAATGGTTCCCTAAAATATATAAACTAAACACAAAAAGAGGACAATATGGAGAAATTAGGGATAACAAGATATGACATACCAAAAACAAATACCAAAATGGTAAGTCTTTCCTTATCAATAATGATTTCAAATGTAAATAAATTAAACTCACCAGTCAAAAGGCATCAACTAGAAAAATGAATAAGAAAATGTTATTCAACTCTATGCATATAAGATTCATTTTAAATCCAAAGAAAAAAAAAACTGAAAGAGATAAGCTAAAAAACAATTATTCCATGGACACTGTAACCAAAGGTGATTAAGGGTGTTTATCTTAATAATACCATATATACTCGAGTATAAGTCGACCGGCATTATCAGCTGAGGCATCTAATTTTACCACAAAAACTGCATTAAAAATTTGCAGGAAGACTCACCTTATACACTAGTATATACAGTAGATAAAATACTTTATGTCAAAATCTGATGCAAGAGATAAAGTATTTTTAAAATCTTTTTATTGGGGGTTCATAAAACTCTTATCATGATACATACATACATACATCAATTGTATAAGGCACATTTGTACATTCATTACCCTCATCTTTCTCAAAACATCTGCTCTCCACGTAAGCCCCTGGCATCATCTCATTTTTTCCCACTTCCCTGCCCGCTCCCCGCGCCCTCATGAACCTCTGAAAATTTATAAATTATTTTGTCATATCTTACACTCTCTGACGTCTCCCTTCACCCACTTTTCTGTTGTCGGTCACCCAAGAAGGTTATATGTAGATCCTTGTAATCGGTTCACCCTCTCTACCACATCTCCCTCCACCCTCCTGGTATCCCCACTCTCACCACTGGCCCTGAAGGGATCATCATCCCAGTATCGCCACTCCCACCACTGGCCCTGAAGGGATCATCTGTCCTGGATTCCCTGTTTCCAGTTCCTATCTGAACCAGTGTACATCCTCTGGTCTAGCCAGATTTGTAAGGTAGAATTGCGATCACGATAGTGGTGGGGGAGGGGAGTACATTTAGGAACTAGAGGAAAGTTGTATGTTTTATCGTTGCCACACTGCAGCCTGACTAGCTCGTCTCCTCCCTACGACCCTTCTGTTAGGGGATGTCCAGTTGCCTACAGATGGGCTTTGGGTCTCCACTCCGCACTCCCCCTCATTCACAATGATATGATTTTTTGTTCTGATACCTCATCCTTTAATTCATCCTTTTACTGGGAGCTCTGGTATGGTAAAGAATTAAGAACCCCCTGAGATTATTGCACTGAGAGTTACTCTTTAAACCGAAAGCCAAACCTATCTCCTAAGATTACCTTTTAGCAAAATAGCAGACTGGCATAGAAAATAAAAGATCAAAATGTAAGATCAATTAGTTAAAAAATGTATCAATAGAAGATGAAAAGGCCAACAATTGCCTAAGGCAAGATAGAAAAACACAGGAACAGAAACTACAGTACTGAAAAGGGTACAAACTGAATACAATTTTTAAAATGTTGACAAATTGTGATAAATGTAACTAATATCACCAATTTCTGGGAATTGTCAAATGAGAGCCTATCTTGATGTGTAAACATTCAGCAAAACTAAATAAAGATTCTTTTAAAAGAGTCAACTTGGAGGAAACAATCTGTAAAAGAAAAAAATTCATAACGCTAAAATATATTTGAATACATAAGAAACGTTGTTGCCTACTTAAATGACGGGATACTATATTTGGAAAGACTCAAAGGTAAAAAGAACACTTGGATATTAAGCACATTTTTGGTAGAAATGAAAATTTAACAGGAAATTTGGAAGATAACATTAAGAAAATTACCCAGAAAGTAAATAAGCAAAGGACAAAGAGACAGAAAGAAAAGAAAAAAGATGAAAATAACAGAATCAGTCCAGGAAATCCAACAATAAAATAGTAAAAGTTCCAGAAAGAAAAATATAATAAACTATCAAGGAAATATAATTCAGTATAATTTTCAAAAATTAGTACATACATTATGCATTGAAAGGGCCACATGGTAGCCAACACAACACATGTAAATAAAGCTGAAACATGATAGGTGGCCTACTTTGAGAGGAGAAAGAAGGGGCTTTCTAGCCCCATAAAGAATTACAGTCTCACCTCCCCCTACCCCCAGAAGGGTTTATATCAGAGAACAGCACTGAAGCTGCAGCTCAGGGAGAGGGACATGTCTGATCAGAGCACATGGGAGCAAATAAAGTGGGGGTGGGCTGGGGGGTAAATGACCTTTTCACAGGGGTCGCCAAATTCCTAACTAACAAAATTAGTTATGAAGTAGCAACGAAAACAATGTTATGGTTGGTGGGGTCACCACAATATGATGAACTTTATTAAAGGGTTGCGGCATTAGGAAGTTTGAGAACCACTATGCTAAGGAGTCTGGCTGGGAAGCCAAGGCTCCCATGGAGGAAACCTTCACGTAAGTGGGTTGGAGATGTGTCCTACTCACATTCTCCTAAGGACAAGTTATTCCCCTCAATGACACCCCCCCCCCCATAATAATGACAAATTTAAGGTGCTGTCTGCAAACATGTGGTTGCTCACTATACTCTTGTGAGTCAACTGCTTGAAGGTTATCTGCCTGAAGGTTGTCAGTATCTAGAGCAACCAGACCCTATTGTCTGTCCCACCCTAAGTAGGACCCAACTCCCTTCTGATAAGGATCATACATTGTTCCCCTGGAGAAGAGTTCAAAGACACCTATGGTCAAGCCAAGTCAGATAACCAAGGTTAGGGCTGCCATCTTGACTCTAGAGCCCACCTATCTTGTTACATATGTGCCTTCCTGTCACATGTGTGCCCCTACTGCCATACCTTCCTATTGCATGTACACCCCTAGCTTGAGCCCCTTCTGTTACATGTATGTCCACTGTACAACCACTTCCTGTTACAAACGTGCTGACCATGACCTGCTGTCCGAGATTATATAAGCTCATGAAATTGCATTACTCTTTCTGCTCAGACTGGCTCTTGAAGTCATGACTGAGAGGTGAGCCCTTGCATGCTTTATTTTGTCATATGTCTCTTTAATTTACCCCTCAATTACACAACCACCCCTAGGGCCCATTGGATGGTGGGAAGACTGGTCCCCCACATGGTGACCAATTCCTTGTGAATGATTCAGAATGAGAAAAGAGCCAAAGATCATTGTAAACTTTCAAAATTGAGCTTTCTAATTAGTGTCCTACCATTAAAATTAGAGGTAGAAAATACAGGTTTAAAAAAAAAAGGGAAATGGAAGGAAACCATGTTTTCATTATCTATTGGATGTGACCTAGAGAAGGTTATGATCTAGAGCAGCACTGTCCAACTAAACCTTTCTGCAATGCTGGAAAGGTTCTATAGCTATGTTATCCAATGCATTAGATGTCAACCTCCTGTTAAACATGCAATGTAATTGGCATCCCAGAGAAAACTAAAAAAACCAAACTCACAGCCAACTCATAATCAATACCAACTCTTAGCGATCCTATAGGGCAGGGCAGAACCGTTCCTGTGTTTCCAAGACTCTTTACAGGAGCAGAAAGTCCCATCTTTTTCCCCTCAGAGTGCCTAGTGGTTTGGAACTGCTGATTTTGCGGATCAAACCCAAACTTGTAATACCAGAGAAAAGTTTTAAATTCTATTTAATTTAAACTAATTTAAATAGTCATAGATGACTAGTTACTACCATATTAGAACAGATCTAGAGAATTAAAGGTCATTTATATTGTCTTTCCCTTTGTGGCACAGTGGTTAATGCACTTGGCATGAATTCATCAACCACTCAACAGAAGAAAAGTGGCAGTATGCTTTCCTAAAGATTTACATTCTTGTAAACCTTACAAAGCAGTTCTACTCTATCCTATAGAGTTGCTATAAGTTGGAATCAACTTGAGGCAGTGGTTTTTGTTTCTTGATTTTCTCTCAAAATACCCAAATTGTTTTAAATGTGATTTAAATTATTCAACTAACTTAAAAACATAACCTTAGAATATCATATTATAAAACTGAACCATTATAAATCCATCCTCAAACAGCATGAATTATATTCTTTTAAGTAATTATAAATAACATTTATAAATAAAAATCAAGCTGAGTAGAAATTAAAGAGACTGGCAAGATGCCACTAAAGTATTGCCCATAACAAATGCCACTAAAGTGTTACCCATAACAAAGCATGAATGGGTAAAGAGGCCTAATTTGAGACCTAGAGTTCCACTCTTCAGTGGAATACTAACCTCTCCATCACTATCAGAGATCACAATGAATGTATCCTCAAATCTACGTTTCCTCTTTAAATTGACAGAAGTGTTAGTTTCTGCTTCCTTCTTCTCTAAGTTCTGGGATTCAGATGTTTCCTTAACTTTTTTCTTTCTTCGTGGCATCTTTTTCTCTGAAATACAAAGATACATTTTTAGTCAAAGTAAACAATTTCTGTATGTGATTTAATTTGGCAATGTAAAAGAAGATACCTATCTAATCAAAAGTAAAACCAAAATTTCCATCTGTTCCACTAAAGAACAATGAGAAATCTGCACACCTCCTACCATGGATGAACCCAGAGGACATCATACTGAGTGAAATTAACCAAGCACAAAAGCACAAAATATTGTATGCAACTACTAAATAAATTATCAACAAAGGTTTTCACACTAAAAGAAACAGACTGTAATGGTTACCACGGGGTTGGAGGGAAAGAACTAGAAGGGGAAGTCACAGGCTCTAGCCTCTACAGTAGACAGGTGTATTAGGTGAAGAAGATAATATTCTGTAAGAGGAAGATGGTCACAAAAATGATAGAAACAGAACAAGACATTGGGCGGTTTGACGACTTGTTGAATATAAAACTAATCATCTAATCTGTAAACCTTCACTTAATTCCTAATAAATTTTCAAAAATTCCATCTTTTCTAGAAAAACACACACACACATATATAACATTTCTCATTTCCATGACAAAAATCTCAAGACCAATATTATACTTATCCAAAATCTAGGATATTCAATGACACAATTATCTATCTTAAACAGTTTGTCCCAAGCCCTTCTATAATAACTTAAGACTACTGGTTCTCAATATCAACTACATATTGAAATTTACCTGACAAGACTATTTAAAATGAAGTTACTGATAACAGATACAAGATTAGGGTGGTGATGGGAACTAAGAGGTTCTTCACCACTTGTGCCAGATTTTCATACTGTGGTGGTTTTCAAATTTCAAATACCAGCAAGGTTACTCATGGTGGCCAGGTTTCAGCAGAGCTTCCAGACTAAGACATACTAGAAGAAAAAAAAAGTAGTAGTTCATTTCTGATGGATTAGCCACAGAAAACCATATGAATAGCAGCAAAACACTGATGTAGTGCTAGAAGATGAGTCCCTCTGGTGGAAAGACACTCAAAACACAACTGAGGAAGAACAGCCTCCTCAAGGTAGAGTTGATACAAATGACATGGATAAAGCAAACCTAATGGGGCACAACTCAAAATGAGAAGAAACAGCTGTGAACATCCATTACTAATTAGAACGTGGAATGCATGAAATATGAATCTACAGAAATTGAAAAACTGATAAAAATGAAATGAATGCATCAAGATCAATACCCTAGGTATTAGTGAACTGACAAGGGCATGGAACTGGCCAATTTGAAAAGAACAAATGGTCCTCTATGACACGGATGGGCTCAAACTGTAAGTGCACACCCCCAAAGGTGAAAACCCAAAGCCCAGGTGGAGGCTTCTAAAACCACAGGCCCCCAGTTTTGTCACTGAAGTTGGTTTCTAAGTGGACCTGGTAGGTTCCCAGTGACCCAGGATGGCCCTTTATCTAATGGGGATGTAACCATAGGTACCCCAGTCCTGCCAGTGTCATCCTTTTACTCCGTTTGAGTAACAGTGCAGTGTCAGGAGGCAAGCTATGCGTGTTTACAGAATTTATAGGTATAGAGAAATTAGGAGACAAGTGCCATTTTAATAAAAGTTTATTTAAAGGGAAAAAGAGACAACACACTGACAGTCTCATCATAAAGATTTGTCCTCTAAGACTGTGACATTTATTCAGTTTCTAAAGAAAACCAGTCTATAATGACAGACACAACACAATCCTGTTTCATGGTTAATGTCTTTAATGTAAAAGAGAAAAAAACACTATGATTTGTAAACTCAATGTAGAAAAAATAGACTTGAAAAATTTACTGAAAATTCAAAGACTATAGCCTTCAATATGCATTACAACTCAATGTTTAAAAAAAAAAAAAA